GGAGTACTCACCCGAGATCGCTTTTCTGTAAGAGCGCGGGGTGGGGATATCAGGTGCATCCGGGTCTCCAGCATGGTCGCGAGATGAGATGCAACGGCCGCAAGAGACTCCAGCTCCTCCTGCCTGTCCTCTAGAACGTCACAGCCAAGGGCAACCTCACCCCCAATGGATGGAGGACAGGTAGGGTCAGGGTCAGAAACGAGACTCGCAAGGTAGTCTAGGCGGTACACAGTAGCAAAGTCAACTAGCTCAGTGACTAAGGCAGACGCAACAGGAGACAAGAGCGTAGGGTCCATCACAACTGTAGCAAGAAAGTGAGTAACAGTCGGACTGGACGCACGAGTAAGGTCAGACGGAGGGTCAGCAACAGCAGGAAGAGAAGACGCAGGAGGTGACGGCAGGACAACGCGCTGTGGAACAGAGGAAGGATGGAGTGTCATATCGTGAGTGCATGGGACAGCCGGAGCATGAGAACGACGAACACAAGGAACAAGAGCACGAACAGAAGCTCTAGTCTCAGGCTCTCGATGCTCAGGAGTGGAAGCACGAGTGTCAGGCTCTCGACACTCAGGAGTGGAAGCACGAGTCTCAGGCTCTCGACGCTCACTCAGGGACTCTGTCACAGCAATGTAAGGAGCAGGAGCAGGCAGTGGGGAGTGAGGCAAGAGCTGTGGGAACAGTAACTGAGGAGTAGTACCAGCGACTGGGAACTCAGTAGGAGCTAGTGGAAGACCAAGAAGGTGGCGAAGCGCACCAGCAGGTCTAGTACCTCCAGTACCAGCAAGACCTCCATTACCTCCAACAGGGGTAGCTCAAGCAACTCCAGCACCAGCATCAGCTCCAGCACCTCCAGCACCAGCAGCTCCAGCACCTCCAGCACCAGTAGTACCTCCAGCACCTCCAGCACCTCTAGGACCAGTAGGACTAGCAGCTCCAGTACCTGCAGCACTAGTAGCACCTCTAGTACCTCCAGCACCAGCAGTACCTCCAGCACCTCCAGCACCTCCAGCACCTCCAACACCTCCAGCACCAGCAGCTCCAACACCTACAGCACCAACAGCTCCTGTACCTCCTGTGAGAATAATAGGCGAGAATGATTTACTAGGAAGTGACGAGGGGTACAAGTAGAATGTCGAGAGAAAACTGTACCCCCTAAGGCTAAACCCACTATAGCCTAGACAACTGTAAACACATAAACTAAGCCTAGATATAACTAAGCATATATGTTTGACACACCCCCATAGGCGAAGTGGGGGATAGCCAGAACAAGTAATGGTCACAAGACCAGTCAAGAGAAGAAGCAAAGCAAAGCAAGCTCAGGGTGGATCACAAAGTCACCACACAGTCCGAGCACAAGTAAAGGGCCACAAGGCCAGTTCACATGCAGAGTTATATAAAGAGAACAAACAATACAATGATCATACCCTAACAAGTGCAAGCATGCAGGTATATAGACAGATCACAGTACAGGCAGAGTCAGGCAGTAAGTAAGTGAGGCAAAGTAGGCACAAGGCCTAACACAGTAACAAAGCGCTGATGGTCACCAGGCGGAAGTGCCTTGGTGAAGACATCAGAAGTGTTGGCCCAAGTGGCCACGTACGCTAGACGAAGCTGACCACGCTGCTGCAACTCTCGAGCAAGGAAGTATGGCAGAGCGATGTGCTTCGTTCTGTGCTCCAGTCTGTGCTCCTGACACAAGGCTATCATGGCCTTGTTGTCTACGTACAGGACTGGAAGGCGAACGAGGCTGCTCTCTCAAGTCGGTCAGCAAGTAGGTGAGCCAGCGTAGCTCCTGAGCAGCCATGGCAGCCATGGTTAGGAAGAGGCCCAAGGTGTATTGTGGAAGGAGTTGAAGCTTTGAAGCTCATTCCTCACTTTCCAACTCCAACATACCAATTTGGAAATGGGATTTCTCTAAGTCTTTTTGGTTCTCCTAACAAACTCTCCTGCACAACTAGAATTGTGTTTACTTCAAGGACAAGCTCTACAAGAAGCTACCTACCTACTTGCTAAAGCTTCATCAACTTTCTTCAAGCTCTCTTTCTCATCTCAAGTTTCAAGGATATTATCAAGGCTGTGTTATCCCTTGGTGGGATTAGTTGAATCTTGGAAGCCTTGTATCTTGATTTTATATATATTGACAAGGAGGATTTATATTTAACACATGGTCGCCCGTTGTTATAAGGGTCGTGGTTGTTACACATTTCATGTCAGTTGAATCACATCGTTCTATACTCACACAGCTCGTTGCTACCCCCTTCCTCAAGCCTCCAAGTCTTCGTTGTACCTAACTGCTGATGGCCGTGAAAACCCTCGCTGCCTGCAGCAAGGCTGACTCTGATGACCTCTTCTACTGGGAAGAGGACCACGGATCCGTTCCAGCAGGACTGAAAAGCCACTACCTTCCTGCTGCCTCCGCTTCAGCCTCTCCCAGCTGGAGCGATGCAGCACGCAAGCGATCCACGCCTGCTGCTGCTCCAAGTGCGAAAAAGGCACGAATCTCCGAGGTTTTGGAGGACGAATTCTCGTATATGAGCGAATTAGACTTGCTGAAATTCCGTCAGAGGTACATAAACACCGAAAGCATCAGCAGCAATGACGGAAACGTGTCCTTCCTGTCAAAGGACTAGTTTCTCGCTTCCACAGGCAAGAAATCGCCTTGGATTATGGTTCAAAAAACTGCTGCCAGTAAGAATGATGCTAACAAGAGCAGCAGGAGCGTGATGGTCTGCACCTTCAGCTCCAGCTGTGCAAACAGCACGAGCTGCGCATCTTTGCAAACTCCTGCTGTAAAAGCCAGCACAAAATATTCAGTGAAAAAAGGCTCCAGCAAATGCCAGACCTCAGAAAAAAAGGTTGGGCTGTCCAACCTGAGAAAGGCTTCAGCTGTTGTTGTCCCTGTTGATGCTGCTACCGCTGCACTTACTGCCAACAACTGTGATACAAGGACAAAGCATATGCCAAAATCTGAAAAGCATGATGCGGCAAAGGTAAATGTGGAAGGGACAACAGCAAATAAGGCATCAATCGTGAAGCCTAGAGGGATGGGGCGGATGAGGAAGTGGGTGAGTAGAGCTTGGTCAAGTGTAGCCTTGAATATGTGGCACAGTGGCAACTGAGGTAAAGCTGGTGGCGGTGATGTGGAATGATGGTGGTAGGGGTTCACCCCCTTTTTCCCATCCTGCCTAGCAGGATGTTGTGGGAATGATGGGAATGAATGGTGGATGGAGAGAACGGAATGGTATGGATGCCACTTTAGACTTGGTAGTTCTGCCTGTTGTAGTAGTTTATATAAATGCATCATCTTTTCATCCTCTAGTATGGATTTCATTGAATTGAGATCACAGAATGGCGGAATGAGTGTGAAATAGAGATTCATGAGGTATGCTGGCCATGTTACATGCTCAGATGGGACCCTTACTGTCTGAGCAAGATATACACAAACTTTTCCATAATTGAACAATCATGATGAGTTATAACGGAAAACCATGGTCAGTGCCACCAGCTTGATGGGAGTGTGAGATGGGATGGGGTGATGGGAGTGTGAGATGGGATGAGGTGATGGGAGTGTGAGATGGGATGAGGTGATGGGAGTGTGAGATGGGATGAGGTGATAGGAGTGTGAGATGGGATGAGGTGATGGGAGTGTGAGATGGGATGTGGTGATGGGAGTGTGACGTGGGTGAGGTGATGGGAGTGTGAGATGGGTAAGGTGATGAGAGTGTGAGATGGGTGAGGTGATGGGAGTGTGAGATGGGATGAGGTGATGGGAGTGTGAGATGGGTGAGGTGATGGGAGTGTGAGATGGGATGAGGGTGATGGGAGTGTGAGATGGGTGAGGTGATGGGAGTGTAAGATGGGATGAGGTGATGGGAGTGTGAGATGGGTGAGGTGATGGGAGTGTGAGATGGGATGAGGTGATGGGAGTGTGAGATGGGTGAGGTGATGGGAGTGTGAGATGGGATGAGGTGATGGGAGTGTGAGATGGGATGAGGTGATGGGAGTGTGAGATGGGATGAGGTTATGGGAGTGTGAGATGGGATGAGGTGATGGGAGTGTGAGATGGGATGAGGGTGATGGGAGTGTGAGATGGGTGAGGGGATGGGAGTGTGAGATGGGATGAGGTGATGGGAGTGTGAGATGGGATGTGGTGATGGGAGTGTGAGATGGGATGAGGTGATGGGAATGTGAGATGGGTGAGGTGATGAGAGTGTGAGATGGGATGAGGTGATGGGAGTGTGAGATGGGATGGGGTGATGGGAGTGTGAGATGTAATGAGTTCTTCCCAATCGCATTGGTGCTGTGGTGCCGGGGAGGACACATGCCATGGCACCATTGCAGGGGGAGAAACTCCATGCTTTACATCTCGCTTTCCATTCTCATTTTTTTATCACTTCCCATTACCATTTTCTGCTCTGCATCCCGTCACTATCAATCACGAAATGTTCTCATTCATAATTCACATTGTCCTTTTCTCCAATCAGCTTGCCATTTCTGTATTTGCAATTTCAACTGTGAAGCCAATCTCTTCACATGTCATTCAATCTTTTCATAACCATGTTTCCTTTTCCATCACCATTTTCCAGGAAACTTCTATCCACTATCTGTTTGTCCAGTCCAGTCAACTTACCATGGTCCTGCCTGTTTCTCAATGTTGGCTTTCCCTCTTCAGTCAGCTTGCCATTATCATTTTCCATATTTAGTTCCTTCAGTCAGCTTGCCATTGCCATTTTCCATCTCATTCTCTTTGTTTCTGGCCAGAAAATTCTCATAGGCATCTGCCGGTTACTTGGCTTGGCACCATCACCATGTGTTCGATTAGTGCTTTGTTGTCATTTGTCTTGCCAGATTTCCGATTGATTGCTTGCTAGTTTCCAGCGAGGGCATCCTCCCATCGCATGGTCATAATCCCACTGTCATGTGCCATGCTCGTTCCCTCGCTCTCATGAACTCATCTCATCATCACACAGCCATGCTCTCATTGCCATCTACCCATTTCAATGGTCAGTCATTTTGTCATAGCGATCTCTCTACTGTTACCTCTCCTGATCATCATCTTCCCATTCTCATTCCCCCATAGTCCGTTTCCTCTCTTGCATCCCCAATTCCCTGTGTGGTGCTCCCATTGTTGCTGTTACATTGTGGTCATCCCATTGCCATGCTCTCATATGCCATACTTCCACAGCCATATTCCCACTCAAGGAATGGTGGAGTGTCTGAACTGAAAGGGTATGGAGAGGGAGAGGGAGGACGGAGGACGGAGGACAGGGTGGATGGGGAATGTTGTGCAACAGGTCATTGTCATTTATCTAGCCAGCTTCCCATTTCCATGTCCGTAGTCAATATTCCTCTGCATGTGCACCTCGCAGCGCTGCCACCCCATGCATGGGCAGCACACACTCGCCCATCCACCCGTGCATCATCCCATCAGCCACCTCTCCTACCCCGTGCCTACCATGCCTACCATGCCTACCATGCCTGCCATGCCTACCATGCCAACCATGCCTACCATGCCCGCCATGTCTACCATACCTACCATGCCTACCATGCCTACCATGCCTACCATGCCTACCATGCCTGCCATGTCTACCATGCCTACCATGCCTACCATGCCTACCATGCCTACCATGCCTACCATGCCTGCCATGCCTACCATGCCTGCCATGCCTACCATGCCTGCAATGCCTACCATGCCTGCCATGCCTACCATGCCTGCCATGCCTACCATGCCTGCCATGCCTGCCATTCCTGCCATGCCTGCCATGCCTGCCATGCCTACCATGCCTGCCATGCCTGCCATGCCTACCATGCCTGCCATGCCTACCATGCCTGCCATGCCTACCATGCCTGCCATGCCTACCATGCCTGCCATGCCTGCCATGCCTGCCATGCCTGCCATGCCTGCCATGCCTGCCATGCCTGCCATGCCTGCCATGCCTGCCATGCCTACCGTGCCTGCCATGCCTACCATGCCTGCCATGCCTACCATGCCTACCATGCCTACCATGCCTACCATGCGTGCCATGCCTACCATGCCTGCCATGCCTACCATGCTTGCCATGCCTACCATGCCTGCCATGCCTACCATGCCTACCATGCCTGCCATGCCTACCATGCCTGCCATGCCTACCATGCCTGCCATGCCTTCCATGCCTACCATGCCTGCCATGCCTACCATGCCTACCATGCCTACCATGCCTACCATGCCTACCATGCCTGCCATGCCTACCATGCCTACCATGCCTGCCATGCCTACCATGCCTACCATGCCTACCATGTCTGCCATGCCTACCATGCCTGCCATGCCTACCATGCCTACCATGCCTGCTATGCCTACCATGCCTGCCATGCCTACCATGCCTGCCATGCCTACCATGCCTACCATGCCTACCATGCCTGCTAACCAACTAGCATCACCCGATACTGTATGTGTCACCACGTGTGCCCATGAGCCTGCTCCATGTATGAGCATGCCTGTGTATGTACACATGGCATGGCGCTATGACTGCAAGTTTGGACCAACGGAGAAGGGGGTGGGGGCAGGCCACTGGTGTGTGCTGCTATAGGATGGGTGGGCTCGAGACGGGAGTGGCTTGCCATTTCAGTCAATGTCACACTGTCATTTATCTTGTTCAATTCCTACCGTTTCCCTTGTGAAGTCAGTGTTTTCAGCATTGCTTCTTTCCAGTCACCTTCCCTGGCATTTGCGGAGTCTTCTCATCCGTGGCCTAAGTTTACTTTAGCACATGAAGGTGTCTGCAGGTCCGCTGGCCGGTTCGTGTTGTTCCTGCCACCGTGGAAGCAGAGAGGCGAAGGGTGGGGAACAGGCCTAGTTTTATCAGTGTAAATCACCCTGATACACTGATTATCAGGGTGGGTTTGGGTAGTCACACTGATGCCTTAGGGTAAAAAAATTTGGAGCTGGGATTTTCCTGATGTGCCAGGGTTTACGTTGAAGGCACACTGATGCCCCAGGGTTACCGTTCTTCTTTTCGAGTTTTACCCTGAAGCGAGTACCAGAACCCCCCCCCCCCCACCCCCCCCCCCCCTTTTCCCGTAACCCGGGATTCCCGTTGGCCAACTGTCGAAACCAGAATTTGCGCCACGGAAATACATGTGTTGGCACGAAGTGGGCCGCCATTGGCCAAAAAACAATTGCGCCTGCTGTGCCCTTGGAAAGGAAGGGGAAAGAGAAGGTGCCCGAGCCACAAGACGATAGAGACCAAGAGGAACACCCTTGTGCCTTGTCCGATGATGACTAAGATGTTTATTGTGTGCTTTTAGTGTAACAATGATTGAGCAGGGTTTTTAAAAATCTGACACAGATGCCTCTGAGTAAAATTTTCAAACCTACTCTTTACCCTGATGCAAAAGATTTTTTCGAAGTGGTCACACTGATAATCAGGAAATTGCACAGGTGCAGCACTGATCATAAGGGTTGCTCAAAACCAAAAATTAGCCCTGGTGGGGAAATTAGTCACGTGGTTCACACGGGAAAGGGATGCGTACAGAACAGAACGTGTTTGTGTTAGAATCGGAACGTACGAATGATTGACTAGGTAGGAAGAGTGAGTACAAGTACTACCCAACCCTAAGGTGTTGTACACTTTAGGGTATGCCCCACTATAGCCTATAGAGAACAAGTACAATTTAACACACCCCCATAGGCAAAGTGGGGGATAGCAAACACAGCGGACGGTCACTAGACCTGTTAAGCAAGAGAACAAAGCAAAGCAAAACTCAGGGTGGATCTCAAGACCACCACGCATTCTGAGCACAGGCAAGCGGCCACAAGGCCAGTTCAAATGTTGAGTCATAAAAGCACAAGCAGTACAGTGATCACAAACTAGCAAGGACAGGCATGCAGGTATCAATATATATACATTTGTCACAGTACAAGACAATCCAAGCAACCAGCAGGTGCGGCAGAGAAGGCACAAGGCCTAGTGCAGTGCAGAAACGTTGATGATCACCAGACCCAAGGGCCTTGGTGAAGACATCAGCAGTGTTGGCTCAATGGAGGCCACGTAAGCAAGGCGCAGCTGACCACGCTGCTGCAGCTCCCGAGCAACAAAGTAACGAAGAGCAATGTGCTTCGTCCTGTGCTCCAGTCTCTGCTCCTGACACAAGGCAATCATGGCCTTGTTGTCAACGTACAGAACTGGAGGAGAACGAGGCCGCTCACCCGAGTCGGTCAGCAGGTAGGTGAGCCAGCGTAACTCCTGTGCAGCCATGGCTCGGCCTCACTGCTGGAACCAAGCACAGAAGACGAACGAGTGGACCTCCACGAGACAGAACCAGAGCCGAGACTGGAAGAGTAACCCTGGGACGACCGCTGAGTCGCCTGGTCGTCAGCCCAAGAAGCGTCGGAGTCTCCTGTGAGTACCACTGGACCCCGTTCTCCAAGCACAAGCCTCATGCCCGATGTACTGCACAAGTAACGCAGTACCCTCTGCGCAGCTGTCCAGTGCTCCTTCCTGTGTCTCCCGGGGGGAACAAGGCGAGCAAGGATGATAAGAGGGTACGCGAGTTCAGGTCGTGTGCACGTCATCAGGTACATGAGGCAGCCCATGTTATAGTCACAATAGGCTTGAATGTGCCTAAAACGAAAGATAGAGAGCACAGACGGATTTCTGCACAGCGGCTTCAAACGTTGATAGCGTTCTGCTCACAGCTGCAAATGACTTGATTCAAATTGGATCTGGAGCGTTTTTACGTCGCCTACAATAAGCAATTGAGAGTGCACAATTTCATAAAGAATTGACAACACAGCGTCGGTTTGAACGAACGGTACTATGGCAGCCACTATAGTCTTAGAACACAAGATAGGAAGAGTTAACGAGTTGGGAATGACTCCCAGCTCCTACAAACCCCAAGAGCCGAGGTACAGTGATGTGGAACAGTGCCACACTGTCCCCAACCACGAAGGGTCTCGAAACTACCATCCACAAGGGCCTACACCAAGAGAAATGTTACACTACACAAAGTAATGCAACTATTCTCACTATCTTAAAGTTTACCCTTTTGGAGAGCTTCGAAATCACTTGATTCTTGAAACCAAGGCTCTGGTTCTTCAAGATAAATTCTTCCTTGAGTTCTTGGAAGTCTGCTGCGCACACCTGCGACACGCCGAATGTTCCACACACGACAAAATAGAAAACCGCACACGACACGCAAACGACGACGTGACACGCGACTAGCGATAACTCGCTATTGACTCGACACACACATTCAAAATCATGCCTCATCATTCACACACTATTGTAAGCATGAAATATATATTATTTCATGCCGTCATACCATTCCATGCACACACGCATGCACGCGCACGGACAACAAGCCGAATGCAAACCGTAGGGTTGCACCAACAGCCCATAAGCTCTGGATACAGGCCACTCGGCTCTACGGACTCGTCCGAAGGTGGAGCTGAGAGCAAGTGGCCTGTAGAGAGAGGAGTGGGCTGTGGCGAGGAGAACCAAAAGCGGAAGCGCTAAAGGACTTGGTGCACCATGTGTGATTGAGTCATTGTGATGGTGCACCATGCTCTGTCCCGGGTGATCTACAAGCCAAGATAGCTACACAGCTCACCCAGGTCAGTGCAACTGTGTCTCTCCTGCACCTCCGCCTTTACATGGGTCAACGCCTCAGTGTCGGCAGTAGCAAAGACCAAGTCGTCGACGTACAGGAGGATGTAGAACGGCGGCAGAGTACTGGATCAGCGACGGGTCAGCAGTGGAAGTAGCAAACCCAAGAGCCGCAAGTGTCGTCCTCGGTGTGTCGTGCCACTCGTGGGGCGCCTGGCGGAGACCGTAGACCGGCCGCTGGAGGCTCCAGTGGGTACCCTAAAAAAACGACCCAATGAAGCCAGGTGGGCGGCACAGCCAGATCTCCTCGTGAAGGCTGGCCTGCAAGAAATCTGTGGAGAAGTCAAGGGAGTTCAGCTCGTAGTCACGCTGTGCTGCAACATGCAGCAAAACCCAAAGAGTAGTCATCTTCGGGGTGGGGGAGAAGGTCTGGAAAAAGGCGACCCCTTGTCGCTGACTGAAGCCTCGAGCAACGTAACACGCCTTGAAGGCAGGCGGAGAACCCGGCGGCCGCTTCACTCTGAAAATCCACATGCCATCGATTATGTTCGCCTCAGGAGGGGGAAACTCGTCGACGTAGGTGCCTGTGGACTTCCAAGAAGTCATCTCTGCGTCCATGGTTGTCTGCCACTGAGAGGATTACTCACCTGTGATCGCCTCTGCATAAGAGCGCAGGGTGGGGATGTCAAGTGCATCCGGGTCTCCCTCAGGGCAAAGCAGCATGGACGTGAAACGAGGTAAAGCGGCCGCGAGACACTCAAGCTCAAACTGCCTGTCCTCAAGGACGTCACAGCCAAGGGCAAGCTCACCCCCGACGGATGGAGGACAGACTGACTTTGACTCCGTAACCAGACTCGCGACGTAGTCGAGACGACTCCTAGCAGCAAAGTCGACTAGCTCAATGACTAGGGAAAATGCAGCAGTATACTCAAAGTCAGGGTCAGTGATGACAGTAGCAAGGAGACGAGTGATAGTAGGACTGGCAATACGAGCAAGGTTGGACTCAGGGTCAGGAACGTCAGGAAGAGATGACACCGGAGGAGACGGCAAGACAACACGCTGTGGAACAGAGGAAGGACGAAATGCCATACAGTGAGTGCCTGGGACAGCAGCAGGACGAGGACGGGTGACACGACGAGCACGAACAGGTGTCGAGGCACGAGTCTTAGGCTCACGACGCTCAATCAGGGACTCAGTCACCTCAGTGTGAGGAGGAGGAGCAGGCAGCGGGAAGCCAGGCAGTAGCTTTGGCTGAGACAGGTCTGTCGGTGGACACAGGAGAGGTGGAGTGAGGCCAGTGGAAGACAGGAGACTAAGAACCTGGCGAAGGGCCGAATCAGGCGGTGGCAGGGACGACTGCGGCTGCGGGTAGAAAAACGGTCGGGACAGCACAGTACCCTTACCGTCAGCAGCTCTAGCACCCCGAGCTTCAGCACCCCCAGTACCTCCAGCTCTAGTACCTCCAGCACCTCCAGCTCTAGCACCTCCAGCACCAGCAGCTCTAGTAACTCCAGCACCAGCAGCTCCAGCAGCTCCAGCACCTCCAGCACCTCCAGCAGCAGTAGCTCCAGCACCTCCAGCACCAGCAGCTCCAGCACCTCCAGCCCCAGCACCTCCAGCACACACACCTCCAGCACCAGCGGCTCTAACACCTCCAGTACCTCTAGCTCTAGCACCTCCAGCACCAGTAGCTCTAGCACCTCCAGTACCTCCAGCTCTAGCACCTCCAGCACCAGCAGTTCCAGCACCTCCAGGACCTCCAGCACCAATAGCTCCAGCAGCTCCAGCAGCTCCAGCACCTCCAGCTCCAGCACCTCCAGCTCCGGCACCTCCAGCTCCAGCACCTCCAGCTCCAGCACCTCTAGCACCAGCAGCTCCAGCACCTCCAGCACCAGCAGCTCTAGCACGCCCAGTGTCAGCAACCCCAGAACCGGCACCCCCAGACTCAGCACCCCAAGAATCGGCACCCTCAAACTCAGCAC